AGGCAAGAAAACCGAGGAGGACTCTCCAACCGTTGGGTGCTAGTCGCCCCGGGGTCAAGGAGAAGTAATGCAAGACTCGACAAATGGGGGAAGAAATGGGAAATCTTAACCCAGCCTCAAGCATCTCCTCGTAAACGACAATATCCCCGGAAGAGTCATCGCAAGCAAACTCGCCCAACTCAGCCCGACGGCACAACACGGTCGGAGGGATGCGATAAGTAAAAACAAGCTTAGAAATATCTTCATCTGAACAGAACAAACTACGAAGAGTGCTCACCTTAGACCCATCATCATCGGGTCCCACTTTGCTGTTACGTTTCTTCTTCCGGGGCCTTAAGGAGTAGTCCAAATCACCATTGGGAGAGTCTTGAAGAACTTGAATCGGGGAAACTACAACAAGGGCTTGATCATCAATGGCAGCATCCAAAGCTTCCCTACTGCTTGCAATTTCTAGCCCAACGCCTGAAAGTGTGTCTGACTGCTGTTGCTCATCCAAACAAAGTTGCCCAGTAGCTTGAAGGGCGCCTGGCCTTTCAATATTACACAAAGAAGAATTTTCGGCGCAAAAATCAGCACCTAAGGCGCCCAAATCAGCACCTCGAATGAGAATCGGATCAGCCCGTGCTCCCAGGCCACTGCCTAGCTCTCCCTGACAAACCTTGGACTGATTTTCAGCGCCCCCCGATGGAAAAATGCTGCTGCCCAGCGTTCCAAAGCTGCCCAGCGCAGCAGATTTGAAGCTGTCCGGGACAGCAGAAGCAGTAGCTAGGCTGCTGCCCAGCACACCTGGGCTATCCAGGACAGCAAGCCCAGCGCCCAGGCAGCTGCCCAGCGCCCCTGGGCTGTCCAAGATAGGAGGAGCAGCCCCTAGGCAACTGCCCAGGCCCCCAGCACGCGCAGAACAGCTGCCCAGGCCCCCAGCGCGCGCAGAACAGCCGCCCAGGCCCCCCGCGCGCGCGCGCGCGCGCTGCCCAGCTGCGCGCCCGTGCGCGCGCGCCGCCCAGCTGCGCGCCCGTGCGCGCGCGCCGCCCAGCTGCGCGCCCGTGCGCGCGCGCCGCCCAGCTGCGCGCCCGCGCCGCCCAGCTGCGCAGCGCGCGCCCAGCGCGCCTTCGCCCCTCCTCGCCTCCTCTTCGCTACCCAGCCTTTCAATTTCAGATCCACAACTTTCTTCAACCTCCACCAATCCCTCTTCAATCGACATTGTTCACTTGAGAAGCTCAACTAGCAAGGAAGAAATCACACTCTTGGAAGGATTCAAGGAGAACACACACTTTGGCTTCAACAAAATGGGTAGGACTTGAGTTCTCAAAATCTTCAAGAGGTGGGTGCTCAACCTTAAAAATAAGTGAAGTGGTAATTTGAAGAAGAAGATTATATTTATAGTCTAGGGTTTTTCAAAAAGAAGAAAAAAGCCCAAATAGACTAATATGGGCCCTCTTCAAAATAAAGTAGGCAAATAGAAAATTATGGGCCCTCTTCAAAATAAAGTAGGCAAATAGAAAATTATGGGCCCTCTTCAAAACAAAGTGGCCAAAAAGAAAGTCATAAGCCATTTTTTCAAAATCAAAAGGCCAAACAAAATATTATAGGCCTTCTTTCAAATAAAATGGAAGAAACCTAAAAAAAAAAAAAAAAAAAAAAAAAAAAGAAATCAATGCCTCCTTCTCCAAGTCTCCTTGGACATGGGGCATTGGGGGGGCAAATGATGGGTTAAGCCCAAGTAGTCCAATTTATGTATTAAAGCCCAACCCCGATTGAGGAGCCCAACCTCATCGTGAACCCACCAAGTCCAAGACAGACCAAGGCCGGCTAGACTTCTTGCTTAGCACGTCACCAAGAGGAGAGCACGGGAAGTTTATCTACACCGCCTTAGGGAGTCCAAGGCCGGTTGGACTTCTTGCTTAGCACGTCACCAAGAGAAAAGCACGGTTGGACTTCTTACTTAGCACGTCACCAAGAGGAGAGCACGGGAAGTTTATCTACACCGCCTTAGGGAGTCCAAGGCCGGTTGGACTTCTTGCTTAGCACGTCACCAAGAGGAAAGCACGGTTGGACTTCTTGCTTAGCACGTCACCAAGAGGAGAGCACGGGAAGTTTATCTACACCGCCTTAGGGAGTCCAAGGCCGGTTGGACTTCTTGCTTAGCACGTCACCAAGAGGAAAGCACGGTTGGACTTCTTGCTTAGCACGTCACCAAGAGGAGAGCACGAGAAGCTTATCAACGGTCCAATCTTTGACCACGTTTCCTTCAAGAGTTCCCCAAACTCTTCCTTCCGTTGAGGATAAGTCGTGATCTCCACCGAAGATAATCTCTAAGCTGCGATAAAGTAGCCTTGAGGATATGTTATGATCTCCACAAGAATGATCTCTTGTCTACTATAAAATGACTCTAATCTGAGAGAGAAAGGGACACATGCTCCATCAGAGACTTTCAGAAGACGAACCGACTATCGGAGATTATTGTTTTTCTTTGATTTCCCATTCCCCCTCTCAAAGCTTGTATCTCCGTTCTCCATACCTTTGAATCAATAAAATACCCGGCGACTGACGCCATTGAAGAGTGGACGTAGGTCGAATTGACCGAACCACTATAAATTGTGTCTTCTTTAATTTTCTCGTTGATTTCATTGCATTTATTATCTATACTTGACAGGTGGTGTACAAAACCATTTTTGTGCATCATCAGAGATGATTCACGACTGGTTATGAAATGGCAAAATTGATTATGAATTACTTTAATTAGTTGTAATTTATCATTTGTAAAGTGTAACTAAAACTTTAACGGGACTAACTTGACATATGATCGATTTTTTGAGTTGTAACTTAAACAATTTTTAATTGTAACTTAGAACTTTTTCCGTTATAACTTCACTTTTACATGTTCTAATTTTAGGGACAATACTAATATGGATGCCATTTGTGGTCCACCTTCTCTTTGTTTATTGTCTCTTCTTTATAGATTTTCTTATGTCTTTTTTTAGGTTATTTTTTTCTCGGTCTATTGTGTAAGAGTCATTGGGTTTCGTATAGAGAATGAAACACCATAATTAATACATAGGGTATAGTATCGATCCACTTCTACTCATTATGTGGAGATACAGTGTAATTTCAATATATTTTTGTACCCCAAAATGATAAACATAATACATTCACACTATCTTTAACTTGATGGTAATCTTCAGAGTTTGCCAAGTTTGACCTGTAGATGAAAGTTCAAAAATTAGATCTTCTCAATTTCAAATTCAATTAATCATTGTTCAATTTGATAGGTCCCACAACTATCAACATGACTCCAGTGGGATGCATTAAATTTAACATGTTTTCCAGAAAGTAAAGTGTGTGTGCACATTTTGCCACCCTAATATGTGCCACACATGAGTTTGAATTATTATTTTTGGACTCTTACCGTTTTCTTATGTAAAACCTTTGACAATGACAATTTTATACTGGATTTTAATTTTTCAATTTACTTAGTTACTTAGCTTAATTATTAATGACATGTTATGATTACCAAATTTGTCAAGAAGATGCATTACACCGGACTGAGATCTATTTCAATATTTTTTTAATTGTTTTTTTTGGGTAAATCACCTACCATAAAAATATCCATATAATGCCAAGGATATCTCTCCATTGACATTTAAGGATTCAAAAACAATTTTTTTTTCTCGAGATTTCAATTGACAAGATAATTTTTGCTCGAGTATAAAAGGCCCCCTCCCTATTTCACCCCTCTCTGTCATCTCTCTCTCTCTCTCGATGCCGAAGCCGAAGCCATCGTCAATCACTGCGAAGGTTCTCTCCGATTCAGAATCCATTACTCCATCTCCATCGAGTTCTCTCTGTACCCCCAAGCCCTAGATCTATGTATGTGTATATTGTCTGTATAGATATACATATATAGCCCTCTACTATATATATATATATATATATATATTGTAATATTTAAGTGTGTATGTATGTGTGTGTGAGGGAGAGAGAACGAGAAAGAGAGGTGGATTTCAGGGGCTTTGGGAGTGCTGAATGGTTGTTGGTGGGGGTGGGTTTTCGGGGGCGGATAGGTTTGGTGGTAAGTGACGTTTCGGTTGGGGTGGCTAGTTGTGGTTGTGGGTTTTGGGTGTGCGTGGTTGGTGGTTGGTGGTTGTGGGTATTGGGTGTGGGTGGTCGGTGGTGGTGGGTTTGTTGGTGTTGGGGTATAGATTTTCTGCATAATACCAAACATGTATTTTATTTTTGTTTTCATAATTTTTTAGGTGTAAATGACTACCAAACATGTTTTATATTTTTATAAAAAAATAAAAAAACAAAAACGTAACCAAACACACTCTTAAAGATTCAAAAACAATTTTTTTTCTCGAGATTTCAATTGATAAGATAATTTTTCCCACCCCACCACCTAACAGTACCTTGTCATATTCAACAATTAAATATATAATAATCTATGAAATTTTAATAATCACAATATTGGGATTAGCTAAATAATTTGACATTGATTACTATTTCATTAATTAATTACAAAATTAAATTCATAATCAATTACCTATTATTCTATTGAACTTTTAACACTTAATCATAGAATAATCCATCCAATGTTGTCAATTAATATTTTTGGCATTAAATAAGATATTTATCCATGGATGATAATTTTTGACAACTAATTACACAATTGAATTTGTAAACAGTCACATGATAATCTACTTATTTCATAAATTAATTACATAATAAACTATCCATATACCAAAAAAAAAAAAAAAAAAAACTATCCATATACACTAAATTAGTCATAATTTTTTAGTGTTAATTAGATTAATTTTCAATTAATCACAAATTTAATAATTAATTGCACGATTAACTTCTTACAACTACCGCCGTTACCATTACTACCGTTACATCATCAGAGAATCAAAATACAAAAAGGGATTAATTGTCATGTTTATTTAAAAAACACTTTTAAAGGGGTGCTAATGTTATTTTAAGCCTTCACTTTTGGTTTTGGTAACACCGTCATTTTACGCTAGTGATCTCACCCCTCTCTGTCTCTCTCCTCCCACCCACAGCACAGAGGAGGACGACAGCAACTACAGAACGACGTCGTAGAGCAGTCGTACGGTACACTCCTCTTTCTGACAGCACAATCTAGTTAACCCCAATCGATTCTGATCTCTCTGATTTCATCAAGTATTCAAGCTTTCTTTTGTCTCTGTGATCATTTTCCGAGAAAATTAACCGGAAAGTATCATTTCTGCAGCAGTTGAAATTCAGAATTGCGCTTTTTTTTTTGTTCAGAACTGTTTAATTTGATAGGGTATTGAACTCATTCGTGTCACTGTCTCAATTGAAGTAACTAGGGTTTTTTCGAGTATATGTATTGAAAGTTGATAATTAGAGTTTGAATTTGGTATATGTACAGAGAGAGAGAGAGCGAGAGAGAGAGAGAGAGAGAGAGAGAGAGAGAGAGAGCTTTTTGAATTGAGGGAAATAAGGGTTTGGGTTTTATGATGGTAGATTGATTGATAATGGTGAAGCTATTGGGATTGACTCGAGGAGAACCAGCTGAATCACCTCGGGAGATTACCCGAACCATACCGACGAGTGAGAGCGTTGGTGAGAGTGGTTGGTTAATTCGCTTCTTTGACTCGGCCTTTTTCTGTGAGTGGATTGCTGTTAGTTATCTATACAAGCATGATCACCCGGGAGTTCGGGACTATCTGTGTAATAGAATGTATACATTGCCCCTTTTGGGAATTGAGAGCTACTTGTTTCAGATATGTTACATGTTGGTTCACAAGCCTAGTCCGTCTTTGGATAAGTTTGTTATTGATATATGCTCCAAGTCGCTTAAGATAGCCATGAAAGTGCATTGGTTTTTGATGGCGGAGCTTGAGGACTCGGATGATAATGAGGGGATTAGTAGGATTCAAGAGAAGTGTCAGATTGCCGCGACTCTGATGGGTGAGTGGCCACCTTTGGTTCAGGCCCAAAATGCACCTACGAGCCCCGTGGGGAAGAACCCAGTTCTGAATAAGTTGTTATCTTCCAAGCAGAGGTTGCTTTCGTTGACATCATCGCCTCCCACGCAGAAGTCTTTATCATTCTCGCCTTCATCAGGTAACTCTTTGCAGGATGAGGGAAGTAAGCCTTTTCCAGAAGAGAATAAGATATTCAAGAAATTTATGCCAGGTCCAAAAGTTCGGGATGCATTGCTGTTTAGGAAGTCAGTGGATAGAGATGATGACGAATCGGAAAAGGATGGCTTCTTCAGGAGGCTTTTAAGAGATGGCAGGGATGAGGATGTCAGGAGATCATTGGATAGAGATGACGAGGAAACAGAGAAAGATGGTTTCTTTAGGAGGCTTCTAAGAGATAGTAGGGATGATGATGCTAGGAAATCAATGGATAAAGTTGACGAAGAGTCAGAGAGGGATGGATTCTTTCGCAGGCTTTTAAGAGAAAGTAGGGATGAGGATGAGGAAGTCACATCGAGCTCAGATGGATTTTTTAAACGGTTATTTCGTGATAGTAAAAACGATTCCGAGGAAAAACACGTTTCAAAATCAGTAGAAGAAGATGAAAAGGAAGGATTTTTCCGAAAATTTTTTAAGGAGAAATTTGAGGACAAGAAGGATGGGAGTGATAGACATGACAATGAAGAAAAAGTGGCGAAATCTGCCGAAGATGATGAAAAAGAAGGGTTTTTCAGAAAAATTTTCAAGGAAAAAATTGAGGACAAGAAAGATGGAAATGATGAGGAAGGCAATGGTCATGCCAATGGTGAGGAAGACGAGCCTTCAGATTTTTCATTGTTTCGTAGATTTTTTCGAGTGCACCCTGAGTATGCCAAGAATGCAACAGCGAATGAAAACAGCCACAGTGGCAGTTTTCTTGAAAGCAGTCCAGGAACAGAAAATTTTTTCCGCAAATTGTTTAGGGATCGTGATCGTTCTGTGGAAGACTCGGAGCTTTTTGGTTCAAAGAAGCACAAAGAGGTCAGTTCACAATTATTGGTTGTTATTGGAATAAAATGTGGAGTCTTTCCTCAACCTTGACTTCTAAATTTGTTGTTAAATCTAAATTATCTTCTTGTTGATCTAACTTAAATGTGTATAATTTTTTCCTAAAGACTATATATTATTTTATGTGTGAGTGGAAGGCCTCAAAAATAGAAATACTACGAAAATTAAAAAACCAAAAATATTTGGAGAATTCTTATTATATCAGCTCCAAACAAAAGGAGAACTGAAGCTATGATTGAAATATATGACAGGTGCAGCCACAATATAGTCAACCATACCCACAGAATCTCAGTCCTACAATTAAGAAATGGCTTGAGTGAACTTCTGATCTGCACAAAAGTAAAACTAAAAAACTTGGAATGAATGTTTGAAATCATGCCATCCATTTATTATTCGGAATGCAAACTTCTTCTTCTTCTTTTTTTTAATAATAAATGGAATGTTAGTAAAAGGGATGAATTATAAAGGCCAAGTTTAGGACACAATAGAGGGGAAGGCATCTTACCAAGTGCCTTACGTCAAAATAAAAAGGAATATTACATGTCACATAAAGATCTCCAATCAGAAATCTTATAAACAAGAGGAATATCCTCTGAACACCTTAGTCACTGAAGCTGAAAAAGATGCAAAAATGATCTCTATTCCATTTTAATGATCTCCCAATTTACTTTGATACTAAATAACTTTAGCATTTCTCTCTAACTAAATAACCTGAATGACAACAATTAGTGTACACATACAAAAAGTGGCACTCATCCAACCAGAATAATTTCAACAACAAATCCAACGCAACCGGACAGTGAAGGATAAGGTGGTCAATGCTCTCATTTTTCCTTCGGCCTTCGGGCATGAAACATTACAATTGTGACAAGCAAACACATGGTCTCCTTTTCTGAATGAAAGGTTTAGTATTAATCTCGCCACGAGCAATTGTCCAAACACTCAATTGAACCTTATTGGGCACCTTAACTTTCCATATAACCAAGTATGGCAAACAGACTTGAAAGCGAACATAGTGTTCAATCCTAGCTGGCCACATTGTGAGAGTAAGAAAAGGAGGATGATGTTGAGGAATTTGAAGTTCCATAAAGTTATTGTCCTTATCTTCTGCCGTGAAATTAATTTCCAATTGATAGTGCTTAGCAAATTCTAGCAATTGTTTACATGATAATTGCTGAAGTTGACAAGTGAAGATTTTTTTCAAGAGAAACTTGTCTTTCTTAAACCACTGGGGAGAACTCTAGAATATTCAAGAACAAGTGTGCTAGGTTTTTTGTGAGAAATATAGTTCTTTGGACTTATGGAGTGTAAATAAATATCTCCCATTTTTATGAAATGTGTTTAAGATATTTCCCAAAACTTATGAATGGAGGTTGGACCATCCCAAGTTCAATGCTTCATGCTCGAAGTTGTGAACTGTAGCTAAAAACACACGTTAGTAAAGAAATGGTATTTTACAAGGAAAACCAAAGGACATTCATAAGAGCTTTATAGATGACCTAACAGTAAAGAAACAATAGAGCCCACACCTGTAGAGTGAAGAACACTTACTGTCGAGGCTAAAAAAACATTGTTGAAGTGAAAAAATCCTCCGTCAGAGCAAAACAACTATTGTTGAGGCATCATAATCTCTGCCAAGGTTAGAAAATCATTATTGGGGCCAACCCAACAACTTCTGAGACCAAAAACTTCATGCTTTCAATGTATCTTTTTGATAGGCGTCTCTATTTATATGGGGAATTCATTGTTGATGGATCTCACCTAGTGTTCCCCTCCTTCCCCCCTTGCCTTCTGACCTGTGGGAGTATATAATGACAACTGTCCGAGAGAAGTTTCCATGTTTATACTTTTTATTGTTGTAGGGCGACCTTAAACTACCAAGGAAAAAAGGGTAAACCAATGTGATCATGACATTGTAGGTGATGTCTCTCAAAATAATCTATAAATCTCTCTCCTAGAGTTGTTTGCATATGTGGAACTAACTATAGATCCTCAAAAAGATTCCCCATGCTCTTATAGGAATGCTAGGATTGCTTCCTTAAGGCTCATCGTTCTATATTTTGTACCAATCCGAACATCTAAGGAGCTTGTGCAGAATACTCAATGCCCAAGCAGTTACACGTTGTTGATTTCATACTCTTCCGATAGAGCCAATAACCATTATGTGAATTGTCGTATGTTATTGCGTTTCAAGATGTTCACTGAATCCTTCACGATCCGATTGGGCTTACCGCACTAACTCGGGTTTATTGGGCAGCATACCTTCTCAGAATTAGCGGGGTTTCTTCTACCTACTTCCGTGTTGAGGTTAACAGGACCCTTATTACTTTACTCAAATTGCTAGCGAACTATCGAGAAGGAGAAAACGCGAACTTGTCTCTGTATGACAACCACTAAAAATGGAGAGTTAACCATTGGTTCATTGGATTTCGGGCCAGATGGATCCAGTGCGTAAGTGACGATATCGATCGTGACCTTGATATGGAATTGAGACTGCTAACTATGATGAATGTGCTAACTATGGATATGATACCAGAAATAGACCAATTTTATATCACTCTTTAATTCGTATTAGCAAGAACAATGCTACTGGAGTCCAGATCTGCCACTATCAATGTAAAAAATTGCCCAAAACTCAATAGGTTGTGCATGAAACTCAACTTGGGCTCCTAGAAGACTTAGTCAGCACCCACCGGCAACATGAGGATTATTGGAATGGCCACAAACTCCGCCAAATAGTAGATCGCAAAATCCGACTCAAAAATTTTGAAAAAATTTAAATTTAGAAAAACATATCAGATGACTTCAAAAAATTTCAGAAAAATTAATATGTAACTTGGGAGAAAAAACGAGTCGAATCATGTCAAGTTTGGTCAGTTCCAACGATGACGTAAATGACACCAGTAGATTACCAACACCTTTCTAAATGTTTCTGCAACTTTGAATTTCCGTTAGATGGTTGGGATGTCAAGTTGGAATTTAGAGATCTTAAATTTTAAGGTTTAGAATGGAGAAGAGGCAAGAGAAGAGAAGAGATTATGACTTAGGGTTTTGGAGAATAAGAGTTAATCAACCCCTATTCTCATCATCTATATTTATATTAACTCATAAAAGAGCTATATACAATAATACCCCTAATTAAAATAATGCTAACATTCTACTGGGTAGAATATGTGTTCATTGTTGTTGTTGCAGTTGTTATAGAGCCAAACCATGTGATGAATTAATATGGGTCCTTCATACAAATATAAAATATCAAATGATTGGGTCCTGAAATTGTGAAAAAGAATGGAGACAAAAATCACTATTTATCAAATCCATCTCATGAATTGCTGAAAAAAATTAACATAATGTTTAAGTGACCTACATAAGGGTCCTTTGATAGTGCTCTGAATGCTGAAAATTGAAGGGATTAAACAATATGTGTTTTTGATAACAAAACACGCTGCCACTTAATTAATTAATTGCATCTGAAAAATGGTTTAAAAAATTAACTTCTCACCTACTTAATGCTGAAGATGGAACATGCTCAACAAGGGACGATTTTAATGCCTTTGTAGTTTGTAGTATGAAAATTTTGACCTCAGATGAGTTTGTCTCCAACACTTCTACTTCAGATCATCATAATTCCCCCCTTCGTCTTAGGTCTCTTTTCTGTGGTCTCTCTCTCTGAAAAATTTGTCAACTCCATTTTTGTTGTAATTGTGTCAAAATATTCTGATTGGTATTGGACTTTGCCAATGAAGATAGACTTTGCCGATGAAGTTGTACGACAAATATTGAAGACCTTTGTAATTTCACGTTGGTTGCTTTAGTGTATGAATCCAGTCAGCTACTTGAGGATTCTAATGATTCATGAGTGTTTTATATGGTTTAAAGTTTCGATTCTAAGAAGAGAGAATGATGAGAATTTTTTTATTTATTAAATTTTAGTTTTTGGTGGTGGTGGTTGTAGGAGTGATGACGTCGACAATGGTGGTGGTGACAAAAGGTTATGAAAGAATAACAAATTAAGATGAATTGATATGACATGATTTTTTATTGGATAAAAATAAACTGAACAAAAAATTTTCAAGCAAAAGGTTAGGGATAAAATTAGAAAATGAATAATTTTAATACTTAAGCTTTTCGTAGGATTTTAACCGTTTTATTAAATTCTGCACTTAAATTTCAGTACATACCAAACAGTATTCAAATTTAAAAATTTAGCATTCAGTTTTCAATACTTAATTTTTAGTTTAATCAAACATTGCCATAGCTTATATGTGCTAAATGGATGCATTGTGAAAGCCATAGGACTTAATATATATATCAAGGTTGTTAATATGTGTATCACTACACATATTGATTTTAAAAAATAATGCATAGTGTATCGTAATGTTTCATGTATTGTAATATACATTCCTTGTTAATAAAAGTATATATCAATAATCAATAAGTAAATTTCTAGCATATAATGTCGAAAATAAGATGAATACAATTTCATCTCAGTGATTTCACTCATCATCTTGTATGATGCGTTGCAATAGAGATTGAAAGAGATACCCCTTTATCTTATCGGATGAAATCAAAATTCAGCTAGGGTTTTTTTTGTTTGAAGAAGAAGAATAACAGAAGCATCAGAAATTGAATAGGATCACAATAGAAGATGATCATGGACTTTGTCTGTTTGAAATCAAACCAAAAAAGAGAAGATTACTTATAGGAAACAATGCCACTTCAGTTTTTAGAGTAAAATGGACGTAAAGACAAAAAAAAAGGATCTCGTGATTTCATGGTATCGAAACACTAAGAAGCACGGATATTGGCGCGGGACGTGGATACAAAACGACACAGACATGCTGACACAAATTCAAAAAAGTAGGATATGGATACATTAAATATTTGTATTTAATTTTATATATATACACACACACATGCGACACACTTACACCCTCACAATCCACTTGTATTTTCTTTCAATCACATTTCTTTGTTCTAATAATTCTCTTACTCGAGATCAACCACCAAGTAAATATATAA